AACCGAAATTGCTGGACCAATGGAGTGAGTACACGTTTTGCAGTTATTTGAACAGCACGCAACCTTGTTCCTGCTTTAAAATGTGTTCCTACCATCTTTTGCTTGTTGTACCAATTGATATCCCCCCCCGTGACAATATTCGCATGCTTGCTTTGGTAAACGACATTGCTTCAGTCTTTCTGGATATGAGAGCCATCGATTTCTGTGTTGTCGAGTCTTGTCATTTGACTTACAGGTCTGCATTTTTTCTAAATATTTACAATTCTATTGCATATTGTTTGGCAAAAGTAAAAGTGAATGCTGTTCCATCTGAAACGAGTAGTTTAACGTAACAGAGTGCCATCTTGTCACTGATCGTAACTCCAGTGCCAACTTTATGTTATTTTACGTTATTTCTACTGCCTTTCTTGTTTTCCTATTCTTCTTATTTCAGTTTAAAGGAAGAAAGTAATATCTGGCGTTGGGCCACTTATCCAAAGCTGTAGTATAGACTTCTTGCTGGCGTGGATAAGTCAAGTTATGGTCGCCCTGGAGAATTGTGAAACAAAACACTGTGGGCTGTCGCATTTGTTGTGTGAAGTACGTGAGCTGGCAAGCTCTGTATTTTTCTGACATTATATATACTCTGAGGGACGTTCGTATTGTTGGAAGAGATCAATGGCGCAATTAAGGGAAACAAAACACAGCTGAGTACAGATTCGTGACTTCAGATGTTCTTTGAACAGAGTAACGGAGAGAGATGTTGTGCTTAGAATAACTGAATAGATGAGCCATTAAAGCAAAAATACTTGACCAGAAATACGACGTTTTAAGTTTATTTAATTATTCACTTCATGGAACAGTCTAGTATTGTTATATTTTAGTCAACACTCCCGAAGTAAAGCAACGTTGTGAATAACAATAGACATTAAGAATTCTATCAGAATAATAGACTATTTCGTACACAATACATCTCTTCTATTGTCTTGCAAAACATAGACATTTATTTTAATTTTTGATTAATAACTCATATTGTGTGTATTTTCAGCAGTTTATTGAGATTTTTCTGTTCAGAACGATTACAGCAAAGCGAGTAGTCCTTGAAGAAACATGTGTCTACGTCAGAAAAATAAATTATCAAAACCTCTAATTTAAGATGTAAAAAATGCCCTTAATTAGAATTATTTTATAATAATTTTAATCAAAATTAGTGGAGCTACTTAAAATCTCTGATTTTACAAATTGTCATTGCTAGAATGTATTAGTTATCGCACTTGAGTCCTGTATCTGTAATTATCGTGTTATTCTTGTTATGTAGGATTTGAGATTTTCACGGTGGTGTGTCTAAAGATGGGTGTCTCCTGAGTTTTAGTGCCGTGTAGTCTGATAGAATTTCACCGACGTTTCAGAGGTGCTCCTGTACTCTCATGATGGAGGCAGTAAGCATATCTGAAACGACGGTAAACTTCTGCCAGACGACACGGCTCTGCAGTCCAGAAGACAGCCATCTTCATATTTACTGCCATGAAAACCTGATATCTTACTTTATCATAGGCAGTTTCCGACCGAGATTCGAACCGGATTTCTCTCAAATCCGAGCCTGTTGTTGCGTTGGAGCTGAATCTGCGCGGTGTTATTAACTTTTCGTGTTGCTTTGTAAAGACACTAGCGAATGGACTGCTTTATGCGTTCTCCAGAACATAATTCATATGCTTATATAATGAAGTAGTATATTTACGAACGTGTTTTGTCACGCGTTCTTGTCATCTTAGGCTCCTTCTGAAGATGAATTTCTATTACGTTCCTCTCTTGCCTGAAAATAATCCGACACTGTATCATTTGTACCCCCTCTGGCTGGCACTGCTAATACATCCACTAATGACATCTGCCTGCCGCTGCTGCTACTTAACGTTGCCACTTACCGATAATCAGGGGTACCAACGCAACATGTAATAATACATTAACTTAATAGTATTTCAAGTCTACCACTAAGATTTTATGTTGGTTAATTTATTTCATGACACTTATTCAATTTTAGATGTTGAATAGAATCAAATTAGAGGGAAGAATTATGATGAATAGATAGGACTTGGAAGGAATCAGTCGTGGCCAACTTAAAGACGTTATTCTGGGATTTGCCAGGAGCGTGTGGAGAAAAATACGTAACATTTGTCAGGGTAGGCAGTGCAGTTGTAGATAGATACAAACGTTTCGGAGTAAATTACTTTTTCCATCTTCAAGGATGCAGACAGTATGTTTCTCCGAAACGCTGGTATTTACCTGAAAGACCACAAGGAGATACAACCCAGAAGAGTAGGGTGGACGGGATGTCGTAGGTTCAGTCCCTGGTTTCTTTAGTTCTTATCATCTTGAACCTTTACTTTTCGCTCATTAAGTGGCTCACTGCAATTGGTTGGTCTATCTCAATTTATTGTATAATCGTTTAACACTCTGTTATCGGCCTGATTTGTTGGTTGGTAGATTCTTAGGTTATTTAACGGTGCTGTTCAACTTCAAAGGTTAAATAACGTGAAGATTATGGAAAGATGATCATGAATGATGAGGTGGAGGGGAGTGGTTTTGGCCAGTTTAAAGTATAAACGTTTAAACGGATCGAAAGAGTAAGTTCAACAAAATCATAACTTGGAATAGTCAGTACTAAAACGGCCGAGATTCAAACTGGGTTCCCCTTGCCTTACAAGTCTGGAGAGTTACTGCTGCACTAACCTACGTGGCGGTGGTTTTGGTACCCCTGTTGTCGGAGCAGGGAGCCTTTAAGCTTGCCATTCCCAGATGTACACTGCTTTCTCCGTTATTTGTCACCGTAGTGCGTACGTCATTTGCATCTCTGACGTAATCATCTGTTTCCCTTTTAGCTATTTTGTATTGCTGTTCGTCAGTTCAGGAAAATAGTGATGTACGGGTATTTTAAAATAAAAATACAAACAGTTTTGCAGTACCAGCAACATAAATATGTATAGTGTGTCGTATTTAGTTTTACTGCAGAGTGTTAAAAAAAATCTCTATACAGTAGACACGTACTTGCAAATCTACAGCGAACAACAGCCATGAAACCGTGCTACCAGCCTGGACAAAAAATAATAATGATGCCAACCTGTGTGTGATGTAGACTTGCAATTACTTCTGTAATTTATAGAGAATCTACTGTGTAGAGAATTTTTGGACATCTGTATTAATGAAGAGATATACTATTATAAAGGAACGTGACCGCCACGGTGGTCTAGCGGTTAGAACGCTGGCCTTGTAATCCTGGGGTCTCGGGTTCGATTCCCGGTGGTGCCCGAATTTATAACTTGTGTTGGGCAAGATCGTGGTCTAGGCAACACGGGGTTTTCCTCCGGGGGCTTCCCCGGTTTCTCTGTGGCATCCCAACAATTACTCCATTCACACACAGAAGCAGGCAATGGCAAACCACTTCTGGATCATCTGCCAAGAACGTATATGAACAGGTCCCAGTCCGAGAAAAGGATGGAAGGATCCTGTTCATATGGACCTGTCCTCAGACAGAACACTAATAATAATAACATTACATTACATTACAATACATTAATTTACATTACATTCATCTACCACAGACCCATCTTAAGCGTAACTAATTCAAGTTAAATAAGCAATGTCTTAATCAAACTTTACTCAATTGTAAAGCATGTATAAAGGAAATATTTAGAATAAAGCCAATATATAACTTCCTTTCCGTATAGACGTATTTACGTCAAATTCTCCGGAACCTTGGTTCCACTGTCAATTTTTTCAGAAGCGGTAAAAAACTCCTTCGCTGTCATACAAAAGTAGCTGTTATGTGGTAACGTTTATCTTTACCACAAGGCTACACAGAATAAGCTGTGTATACGGAGCTAGATTTAAGTAACAAAATTGGAAAATTTCATTTATGGTCTAAAAACAGACGTTTATTTTCTTTAAAATATGTTATTAAGCTTGAAACTAAGAGGAAAATGCACTATTTTAAATCGCCACTGCCATTCAATGTAAACTGAAATAAGGAAATAATCAGTCATTAAAGCCGCCGCGTAACTAATAAAGACACTCAAGGGAGGATAAAAACAGCAGAACTCAAACCAGCTGGAGGGCCCACATAAGCTGGGACGCGAGCAGTAAATGACAGCGTTAAGTCACTGAGTGGGCTATTTCCAGCTGGTCGCCTTAAACGCACCAGCAGGTCGTAACAGCTCACCGAACAAACGAAGGATATTTAACGACGGGAACGGGAAACAGAACTCGTTCATCCGACATATAAAATTACAAGCAAAATTCCCGCAGTCTCACTGTGGTGAAATTCGACAAATACACTTCATATCAATTTTTACTGCCCGAAAGCGCATCATAAGCACGATTATTCGACACGTATCATTGAAAAAAATAATATACCTAATATATATATTCAATACAATTTTCGGGGTTCTTAACATTTCCTCCTTGGTTCTGTTCTGAGGTTATGTCTTTTGACCTGTAATCCTCTCGTTGAAAAAATAACTTTGGTGTTGGCAACGTTCTTATATTGTGCTGAGTTTAAGAGCTACAAAAATCACCCTTACCAGGACATGAACTCAAAAAACTAATAGTTTGACCTCCGTGGAATATCATCCCGATTTCAAGGCACCAGCATGCCAAGTTTGGAGCAAATTAGTTCATCCGTTCTCGTGCATCAAGCGAACATACGTATTCTCCTTAGGCAGTAGACACTTCCAGCTATCAAGAGATTTATTGATTTTAATTCAAAAGTCTCATCATCGTAATATAAGGAGACTATAGATGGACATCTAGAGTCGGTTTAATTCAGTAAACCTATTTAATATCATGAGTACAGCTGGAATTCACTTGTAAACAACAGTTGTATTTCCCCATACAACTCAGTTTATCCCCAAAACGTTATCTGTCTGGTTTAAACAACAAATCTTTTGATGGCTAGCATAACAATTTGTGAGGGCTTCATCTCGCTGACCCCTGGTCTACGTTAATAGAAGAAAGAATTGAGAACTTACCTCTTCGATGATTCTGAAGTTGTACAAAGAATGACATGCAGCAAACTGTCTTACCTGAAAAAAAGAACGAAAGAATTAAATATGTAAACTATAACAGCTGATAAACAAAGTAAAAACAGTGGATTAAGTATTACAGCAAATTTGTAAGATTTGAGGTTTTCACAGCGGTGAGTATGAAAAAAAATGTAGATTCCTGTCTTCTGGGTTGTTGCGCTGTGTAGTCTGGTCGATGTTAACCAACGTTTCAGAGGTCATACTGCCTCCGTCATCAGGGCGATTCATACTACACAGCGCAACAACCCAGAAGACAGGAATCTTCATACAGCAAATTTAATTGCGATTCACTGGGAACATGAAGATCTGTCTAAGGTTTCTTCATATAAGAATTACAAGGTAAGCGTTTTGAAAGAAATGGGCCTTATTAAACTGTATTAAATAACTCAGCACTAATACGGGAGATAATCACTTTGGTAACAATGAAATATAGGAATATAGTAGCTAGAAATGCATAGTTATTGGTGTATGCGCGCGTTCCTAATGTACATACGCAGATAAATGCACATAGAGATTGGAAATAACAAAAGGAAAATGAGATTATTTTAAGTTGCTCAACAACGATTTTGTAAAGTAAAATTATTTCAATTTGTGGTTTGCAATTACACAGCGCTGTACTTCACACTTTGGAACTACGGTAAAAACGAAGGTAATTTCTGTAGAGCTTCTAAATCTACAAATACGCTCAGCTTCATTAAGAGGTACGGGGCAAACTTTTGTCCGATTTTAATACCAATAACTCGATTCCAGCATAAGTGGAATCGAGATCTGCTGACGCGACAGAAAATCTCGAAATGCCACTGGACGAAAAAATTCGACATCCATGTCATAGGTTCAATGTACGATAATGAAGAAAACCACAGAGAGGGAGCTTTTAGCGATGTAGTTAACGGGCCGAGTTCTCGACCTGAAACGTGTCTGAACAAGTGAAAAGCGTTTCCCGACATTGGTTACTGAGATAAAGCGATTAATATGTAATCTGCACTGATCCTTACAAACTTCAGGATGTAATTTCAACAATTACGTGAAAGGCTAAAGACAAACTCGGAAAACAAGAAGTTAGTTAATTCGGCAGCGGATGAAACGAACTGGAGGCAGACTTACTGAATTTCAAAGTAATTTGCTTTATTTTCACCTTAGATTCTGAGGAAGTTTAAACGGCTTTCAATTTCTGCTATGTGCAAGTGAAGGTAAACCGAATCAGATTTTCGCGTGAACTATCCAGTCTGCGAGAAAATAAAAGATCTTTAGACAAATTCGTTCAAAAACGATTTGTGCAACACCCGAGTCTGTGATGAAGCTAAAACACCCCTACAAATTGCAAAGTGTCTTACTAATGGAGCTCTTCAAGAATACGGAATAAGCCAACCAATTTACCCTCATACATTTCAATATTCTAGCAACAGTCCACTGTGCGACCTTCACGAATCACGAAGTTACTAATTATGTAGAACCGGGCCTTGTGCCGCTTGGTCGCTGGGACCGTGGGTTCGAATCCCACTCAAGCCATGGATGTTTGTCCGCGTTTTTCTGTGTTGTGCTGTCCTGTTCTGGGTTGTTGCGCTGTGTAGTCTGGTCGATGTTAACCAACGTTTCAGAGGTCATACTGCCTCCGTCATCAGGGCGATTCATACTACACAGCGCAACAACCCAGAAGACAGGAATCTTCATACAGCAAATTTAATTGCGATTCACTGGGAACATGAAGATCTGTCTAAGGTTTCTTCATATAAGAATTACAAGGTAAGCGTTTTGAAAGAAATGGGCCTTATTAAACTGTATTAAATAACTCAGCACTAATACGGGAGATAATCACTTTGGTAACAATGAAATATAGGAATATAGTAGCTAGAAATGCATAGTTATTGGTGTATGCGCGCGTTCCTAATGTACATACGCAGATAAATGCACATAGAGATTGGAAATAACAAAAGGAAAATGAGATTATTTTAAGTTGCTCAACAACGATTTTGTAAAGTAAAATTATTTCAATTTGTGGTTTGCAATTACACAGCGCTGTACTTCACACTTTGGAACTACGGTAAAAACGAAGGTAATTTCTGTAGAGCTTCTAAATCTACAAATACGCTCAGCTTCATTAAGAGGTACGGGGCAAACTTTTGTCCGATTTTAATACCAATAACTCGATTCCAGCATAAGTGGAATCGAGATCTGCTGACGCGACAGAAAATCTCGAAATGCCACTGGACGAAAAAATTCGACATCCATGTCATAGGTTCAATGTACGATAATGAAGAAAACCACAGAGAGGGAGCTTTTAGCGATGTAGTTAACGGGCCGAGTTCTCGACCTGAAACGTGTCTGAACAAGTGAAAAGCGTTTCCCGACATTGGTTACTGAGATAAAGCGATTAATATGTAATCTGCACTGATCCTTACAAACTTCAGGATGTAATTTCAACAATTACGTGAAAGGCTAAAGACAAACTCGGAAAACAAGAAGTTAGTTAATTCGGCAGCGGATGAAACGAACTGGAGGCAGACTTACTGAATTTCAAAGTAATTTGCTTTATTTTCACCTTAGATTCTGAGGAAGTTTAAACGGCTTTCAATTTCTGCTATGTGCAAGTGAAGGTAAACCGAATCAGATTTTCGCGTGAACTATCCAGTCTGCGAGAAAATAAAAGATCTTTAGACAAATTCGTTCAAAAACGATTTGTGCAACACCCGAGTCTGTGATGAAGCTAAAACACCCCTACAAATTGCAAAGTGTCTTACTAATGGAGCTCTTCAAGAATACGGAATAAGCCAACCAATTTACCCTCATACATTTCAATATTCTAGCAACAGTCCACTGTGCGACCTTCACGAATCACGAAGTTACTAATTATGTAGAACCGGGCCTTGTGCCGCTTGGTCGCTGGGACCGTGGGTTCGAATCCCACTCAAGCCATGGATGTTTGTCCGCGTTTTTCTGTGTTGTGCTGTCCTGTGTACAGGTAGAGGCCTTGCGACGGGCCGATCCCTCGTCCAAGGAGTCCTACCAAATGTGCATAGATCAAGCCAACGAAAACTTGGGACCCGCAGTGCTCAGGCACTTGAAGAAAGGGTCGTTCCCAGTATCCCCAGTACTATCATATTTATTCTCGCAACTGCCTCACATACGACATATGACGAAGCTAAATTCATAACCAATATTAAACATGTTAAAATATAAAATCAAAATGATGCTGGAAGAATGCAAAGAGACAGTCTTGCCAGTCCATTACAAACAACATTGCTATTAAAGCATTATTTATTTAAGCTGATCGAAACGTTACGTCTTTCTGGTTTGTGACTTGAATATGACTCAGCTATGTCATGTCACTGAAACATTTCCTATAAATTCTTAAGTTTTGTTAACAAAACTTTACGTCTACTTGTTTTCAGTGCTTTTATTGTGTTACTGTGTGTACTGGTGAGTGAGTTGTGTAATACACGTTCATTTTCATTGCCTCCACATTTCTTGTGGTCATTAAGGAAAGGGCAGAGATGGACAACAATGCATACTTAAAGCTCCAACAACAATTTAGTTAAGTTTGAACAATTCAAGCGTGTTGTTTTAAAGGCACAGTACGTTGACTTATTTCCGAGACGCGTATTTCCATTACAAAAGCTTTGAAAGGAGGGAGGTTGAGGGGAAGAAAGACAGCGGAGTAAATAATAACAAAGTTAAGTGACTTCAAAGCTTCATACATTTTGAATACAAAGTTACAAAAGCTAATTTAGTACAGATTCGGATCCATCCATCAGTATACTGGAGAGAAATTATTTCAGAATATCCAGTGCTATGGCCGATATTCAAATAGGGTAATTTCCTAACAGAAGTAAAATCCGTTATTATTTAAGGTAATCTGCTCTTTCCAGAGAGCGCGAATATGCTACACATTTGCTCGGAAAATCTGCTACAGACATATTATCCCTTCCATTCATGCGTTTTTATACACACTTGTCTTCCGAAATGAAACTCAAATCATCTGGTTGTTTACTCGGGAATTGTTCAAATTATTCATCAGTGATATCGAGTTGAATCCACGCTACAGCGTGGTTTTAGTTAGAAGGCTGTATGATGAAATCAATCCTGGTGCTTTAGGGATTGCAATATAATCTCCCGCTTCCCTTTATTTTCTCATTAGTCGAATGGAAGAGACAGTAACTTGCCTCTGGTATTCAACACTCCAAGGCCTGTTTCATGTAACGCGTATTGAAAAATACTCTGATTCACTACAGTGGCAAAAGGCCAATTTTTATCATTACGCAGTATTTCTTTCATCAGAGTACAAAGTGGTATTAATGATAATTAAAAAATCTGCTTTGTATTTTCAGTCAAGCAATTTTTACGGAGTGTGGGAAAATTATGACATCTAATATCAGTATTTGTCTTCTGGATTGTAACACATTCTGAACTTGTGTGTTCTTGTACGTTTCGGAGGAACATACTGCCTCCATTTACACACAATACAGAATATGCGGACCTAAGATGGAGAAAGAAACAGGAAATTCGAGTCATTACATAAGTAGCTTCATTATTTGTACGTGCACTTTATCTCATACTGTTAAGGTCATTACATCAAAGAGATTGACATAGGTAAGCATACAGCACGCATAAAAAGATGAGAAGTAGGTCTACATACAATGATTTAGTCAAAAACTGAAGGTACGAACTACATGGAAGACTTAAGAATAGATGGGAGGATAATATTAAAATAGATTTTAATATCCCATAACTGTTATGCACCAGATATTGGGCCCCAGACAGCTCCTGTGTTCTTATTCCTTAGGCTCAGGTCAATACACATGCACTCTGTAAGCATACAACAATCCAACGCGTAAACAAATTCCAGAGTTATGTAACGAATGTGAGGCCTAATACGAAAAGAGGAGTTCTAAGCTTCGTACTACTGTGTCCATAAATACTGGCGTCGGAGGAGTTTTGTGCCGGGCTGAACTATTAGGCTCACATAAAAGTTTAAGATCCAAAGAGTTAGCTATCAATACTGA